TGCTTCTCCCTCTCCCACTCCCCCTGCTTGTGTTCCTGCTCTCGCTCTCTCTCTGTCAAATAAATAAATAAAATCTTTAAAAAAAAAAAAAAAGAGGACAGAGATGATGGTGGCCTGGACCACAGAGCAGAGCTCTGAGCTGCTGAAAGTGAAAAAATGCGTGAAAGTGTGTTATTTATTTACTTACTTTTATTAAATTTTTAAAAAAGATTAGACTTTGCAAAGCTTTTTTCAGATGAAGCAGTCGATTAATTTATTTTTTAAAGATTTTATTTGTTTACTTGAGAGAGAGAGCGCGTGTATGTGTCCGAGCATGTGAGCGTGAGCAGGGGAAGGGAGATGGGGAGGAGTAGAGGCAGAGGGAGGGGCAGAGGGAGAGGAGGAGGGGCAGAGGGAGACAGAGAAGCAGACTCCCTGCTGAGCGCAGAGCCTGACAAGGGGCTCCTTTCCAGGATCCTGAGATTATGACCTGAGCTGAAGTCAGATGCTTAACTGACTGAGCCACCCAGGTGCCCAAGCAACTGCTTACTTTAATCTACAGTTGCCAGATGAATTTATAAACATCTTATTATTTTTTTAATTGAAGTATAGTTGACACACAATGTTACATTGGTATCTGAAAGTGCCTTTAAAAATAGAAGGCATAGAGAGTTAGCTGTTATGATTATGGATGCAGGCAGGGCAGTTGGGCACAACAGCAGGCTGTTGTGTTCTTCATGACCTCTTAGCTTGAGGGAAGTGCCCCCTCCTGGAGAGACACTCCCGAGGTCTCACACAATCAGTCTTATGCAGTTGGAGTCCCATTCAAACATGGGGAGCCCCTACCAATTGGGACCGGGGCGCTTTCACAGCTATCAAAATGGGAGGGGTGGCACAGTCACTAGAATTCCTGCCTGATCCCTTGCAGAAAATGTTCACACCTACAATATGGTGGGAGTTTCCTGCTTCCAAGGGAGGCCAAGTAGCCATTCTTATTCCCATTTTATAGATGCGGAAACTGAGGCTAGAGTAGTTAAGTCATTAGCCAAAGGCCACACAGCTAGGTGATGGTCAAATCTGGACTGGACCCCAGGCCTTCTGTTTACAAAGTCCTGTGAGACGGGCTTCTTTTTATTGAGCCTTTCCTAAGGTCTCCTGACTCCCAGTCGAGTGCTTCACAGGCACCTGCAGCTTCTCCGGTCTTGCCTGAGGGCATCTCCCCCCACCAGCGTGGCCCTACCACTGCCATCCTCCCTCCCACCTGTGACTGTCCACAGTCCAGGGAGGCTGACCTCAACATGGTTCCCTGTCCCTCTCTCCCTCCAGATTGAGCGGCAGCTCTTTGAGGAGACTGTGAAGACCCTCAACAGCTTCTATGCGGAGGCCGAGAAGATTGGGGGCAGCTCCTACCTTGAGGGCTGCCTGGCCTGTGCCACGGCCTACTTCATCTTCCTCTGCATGGAGACCCACTATGAGAAGGTGGCTCCCTTCCTGACTGCCCTGCATCCCCTCCCCCAGGGCTCCCCTGCTGCATCTTCATCCTCAACTGGCCCCTCTCCTTGCAGGTTCTCAAGAAGATCTCCCGCTACATCCAGGAGCAGAATGAGAAGATCTTTGCCCCTCGAGGCCTCCTGCTCACGGACCCCGTGGAGCGCGGGATGAGGGTTGTATCCTTCCTGGCTGTTCTGTGTAAGGGCACAGAGCTGCCAACCAGTAGGGTCCCTGGTGAGGCTACCAAGAAATAGGGGCCACCCTAGGGGCCTCTGCTCAGGGATTTCCTAGGATTTCCCACATCACGGGTCATCCGCTCCCCTCCCCCATAAGTTATCAATGCCATTTGTGAATTTCAGGGTTTGCTTTTATCCAGCTACCTTTATTCACTGCTTAACACATGCCAGGTATCATAGTAACTGCTTTGAAACGATGTAGTTCTCATAATACCCCTAAAGGTGGGTGACTCGTATTATTCCCCTTGTCAGTGAACACACTGAAGGTCAGTCACTGGCTCAGGGTCACCTGGCTGGTTGACGTCAGAGCCGTGACTGGAGCCCAGGCCCACACTTAGCTATGAGGCTGTATTGCCCCTCAGGGAATAGGCAGATCTCCCATCCGTTTACACGTCTACAGTCTCATGTACTCCTGTGTGTGCGTCCCCCTTTCACAGATCAGAAAAATGAAGTTTTGATGGGCGGCTGGTCCAAGCGTGGGTTATAGGTCAGCTCACCTGGACAAGTGTGTGCATACATCCCGCCCGCAGTCATTAGCAATGAGAGTAAATTGTTAAAAAATAAATTTTTGCTAGAAAATTGAGAGGAAAAAGAGTAAAGAAACCACAAACACTGGAATCTTCTGTTTACAAAGCCCTGTCAGACGGGCTTCTTTTTATTGAGCCTTTCCTACGGAGCGGGCATTGTGCTTGCTGCTTAACATGCGTGATTTCAGTCAGTCCCCAGACAACCCCAAGGTTCTCGGATTACCACCATTTTACATATGCAATCATTAATGGGTAACACGTTAAACGACCCCTTCTAAGGCCACATCGCTCGAGAGTAGGCGAGTCAGGGTTTGAAAGCAGGACACGGAAGTCCTCCCACTTGCCGTGGGCAGTGACACCACCCGTCCTGGGGTTTGGTAGCCAGACCCACTAGAGCGGGAGCTTCTGACCCGGGTGCGCGTGGCCGTCGGGGTCGCTGTGGACGTGCACCGAGTGAGTGCGTGCGGGAGCGCGGCGGCCCGGGCTCTGGTGGCTAGTGCCGCAAGCCGCCGTCCTCGCCGTCCTCGCCGTCCTCGCCGTCCTCGCCGTCCTCGCCGTCGGGGCAGCGGCCCCCGCCGGCCGCCCGCTCCCCTGCGGGGCCTCCGTGCGCCGGTCCGTCCGCCCCTTCTCGGCAGCTGGCAGGGGGTCCGTCCTTAACGCCGCCGCAGATCGAGATCTCCATCTACGAGGACAGGTGCAGCAGCGGCAGCTCCAGCAGCGGCAGCAGCTCGGGCAGCGGCAGCAGCGGCGGGGGCGGCGGGGCGGGGGCCCGGTGACTGGCCGAGAGTCCCTGCAGGGAGGTGTACGGCCGGACTGAGGGCCTCTCAGACCTACGGCGGCTGCGCTACCAGAGCACCCGCTTCTGAGTCATTCTCTGGGCCCCGGCTGCTCCCCGGGGCGGGAGGGAGGGTGACTGGCCCGGCGTCCTTGCGGGGCCCGTCTCCCCGCGCCCCCTCCCGCACTCCTGCCCCTCACCCCTGGCAGGACGGCCCACTTCCGGACCTGGCACTTTCCCCAGGGGGCAGGTCTGGTCACCGCAGCCAGATCTTCCAGGGCAAGGCTGGGGCGGGGTGGGCAACACGATTTGGAAAGCCCTTTTCTTCTGCTGCTCCTCTCCCAACACCCTGGGGTGGGGCTCAGGTCCCAGAGAGAATTCCCATCCCGCATGATTCCTCAGCCCAAATCGCACATCCACCAGGACTCTCGCCCCCCAGGGTCCTGCACCCGCTGTCTGCTCTTTCTGGGGCCACTGCAGGGGCTCTGCCTGTCTGTGAACCTGCCTCCCCCGGATTCGAGGTCTGGGGAGATGGGAGCCACTCAGTCCCCTCCTGACCCCTTCTAGACTCATGGCTTCCCCTTCCCCCATCCAAAGCCTGGAGGCCACGTTGACCTTGCCAAGAAATCCAACTCCTGAGATTTTGCAGGACACGGGGCGCTGCTTGTGGGGCACACAGCCTGGGGCTCTGGGAGGTTGTTATAAGGGGGTCTAGAGAAATGCTTCATGGAGACATGTAGCTTTGGGGGCTGTGAACCTCCAGGACTGGAGCCAGCTTCTCGGGTTTAGAACCTGTGTGCACGAGAGAGTGAGTGCGTGTGCATGCAGGCCAGCGTGTGAGCGCACATACGTGAGAGCACTGTGTGCACGAAATCGCGTGTGGCTGTGCAGGCCTGTGCATGAGCACACATGCGAACGCATGTGCGAGAGTGCGCTTGTGTGAGTGTAGGTGTGGGAGCGCACTGGCCTGTTCTGCTTAGTTGCCAGGCCAATGACCGCCCCTCTCTGCAACCTGTCTTATCTTTGTGATGGTCTGTGGCTGCTTCCCTGCGTGGGTCCAGCCTGTCCCTTTGTAAATAAATGTCCTAAAGCTCCTCGCCCCTTGCCTGGGGCTGCCAGCTTGGCTCTTCTTCCTGGTCTCTCCCCCCACCTGCAAAGTTCTCCCCACCTCCTCATTTTACTGTGTACATTCTAGCAAAAGAGAAATTGCGGGTCTAGGAGCAGAGCCAACCTTCTGGGGCCTCCCGTGTCCCTCTCCCAACACCCCTCCCCCCATGACAAGGCAACAGGGCCACACATGCTGCGTATTCAGCCCGCCCAGGCTCCGGAGCTCTCTAAGGCTGCGTAAACAAGGCTTCCTTGGATGTTCAAAGGAGCTGGCAACCTGCAGGGGAAAAGGCAAACTCCTTTCTTGAAAGGGAAGAGAAGCACCCAGCCAATGAGGCCCTGCCTGCCAAGGCCCGGGGCGGCCAGTGGGAAGGAAGCAGCTCTGTCCTGGTGCCCCGATGAGGGACAGAAAGCGGCTGCCTGCCTCAGCTGGCAGGAGGTGCTAAAAGGGCATCTGAAAGACCAGCCACTGCTGGTAGCCTTCTAGAACCAAAGAGGGGCTTGGTTTTCTTTTGGACAAGAGAGCAGCCTTTGGGAGGGAGATGCCTACCCAGGGAGCTGCAGAGGGCAGCCCGGTCCCTGAGCCCGACTGGGTGGGTCTGCGTCCAAGGATCCCCCACAGACGGCGGCGACCAGTGAGCTCCATGGCAGCCCCCTGACCCCTGGGCCTGGCCCATGCCCTCCCTGGCCCGCTGTGTGGCCGGGCCGTATGTCTGACCAGTGCCTCTCCTGTGGGATGGCTGGGCACAGGTGATGCAGTGGCCTTTGGTTTTCTTATTTCTTTTTCCAATAAAAGGACTTGCCCAGCTTGAGGCTCTGTGCTGCTTCTCTCCCTTCTGGTGGTGGGCTGCCAGCTCTGTGCCCCAGGCCTCCAGTGAGGCGAGGCTCAGCTGCCCACCCGCCTCATGCTAAGGAGGTAGGGCTGGCTGACCGTGTCCCTGAAGGAGTGGTGAACCTGACATGGGCAGGACCCACCCTGTCTTCTTGGAGCTTGTAGTCTAGTGGGGAGGCTACATTCCAGATCCTCTAATCTGGAGCCTTTCTGGGGCATTTGCAGCCTCGGGTGCAGGGAAACGCTTGACTGAAAGCCAGGGCAAAAGTAAGTAATGAATTGATTAAATACCCATTTCTTCAGCTCGTAACCTGCTTGGGCCCTGTTAGGGGTTGGATCACAGAAGTCACTCAGTTTTAAAGACTAGAAAAGCATGTGAATGTTGAGATCTAGCAGGGTTGTGTCTTGCATTTTATGAAACCAAGTAACCTTCATTGAGTACCTCTTGTGTGCCAGATGCTTTGGTAAAACCATGTGCTAGAGCTGGGAGGGGATTTAAAGATCATCTAAAGGAGGCAGAACGGAGGCCCAGAGCAGTCACATGACTTGCCCCAGGTCACACAGCTGGTTGACGATTGTGCCAAATTTAGAACCGACCTCTCCTGACCCAGTGCTCACTCTGACACCATGGGGATGGCATCCCGATGGAAGATGCCCTATGCTGCAGGGCGGCCAGGGTCACACACTCGGGTCTGTGGACGAAGAGAGGGTCTCATCAGACTGGGGGGGACAATGGCGCTGGCCTCAGGGTGGGGGCTTTGGGGAGATCCCCTCTGGGTGGTGCTGAATGGGAGTCTGGGTGGCTTCCACGCTTGGACTTGCTGCTCTGGAGGGGCAGCTGGGCCTTTGCCTGAACCATGGGGAGGCCTGGACCCACTGCCTGTGTGCAAACCTGGGGTGTGTGTGGGTGGTCACAATGGAGGTTGTTCTTTAACATGAGGGTGGGTTCATTCTGTCTGTCCTGTATGCAAGGTTATTAGTCGTAATATTAAACCATAGTAGCTAACATTTACCACTTGGTATGTGCCAGGCACTAGGCTAAGACCCTACATAATCATTCAATCCTCACAACAACCCTATGGTGTGGACTATTATTCCCATTTTACAGATGAGGACACTGAGGCCCACAGAAGTTAAATAACTTGCCCAAAGTTACACAACTAGGAAGTGGCAGATCTTGGCTTTGAATCTAGGCAGTCTGACTCCAAGCTGTGTGGAAGATGATTAATCCAGCTTCAGGGACCCTGTCAGAGCTCGAGGTCCTCAGCCATCCTAGGGAAGGATTTGACAGATTCCCAGGTAAGGACGTGGAGCTGTGCCTGGTACCTCCAGGCATCACGGGAGTGGGGGTGGGCTGTGCTCCTCACAGAACTGTGGGGTCCACAGGGGCAGCTTGGTGGAAGGGCAGAGTGGGGAGAAGCAGGTGAGCCGGGGCTTGTCTCTCCCGGGCTTTCCTCTGCTGGCTCAGTTACAGGGGGTGTGGCCCCTCCTGCGGGTCCGGCCGCAGCCATGTCCCTGTATCCCCCTTGCCAGCCAGGAACGGGCCCGTCAGGCCCCAGGGAGCACAGGAACCCCCAGCAGCTCTGGGCTGCCATTCCCTTGGTTCCTGTTGCCAGACTCTGCCCTCTAGCTTCCTTTGGGGTGTGTGAAAACTGCAGGGTTTACGGAAGCTCACTGTGCCACCGAGTGGCAGAATCGTGCACTGCACCCTGGAATCAAAGCAGCCTGGGAAACGTTCCTAGAACCCCCGCAAACCCACAGCCACTTCCACCTGCTTTCAGAGGAGGTGTGGGGCAAAGATGGGGTCCAGTTGGTGGTGACTCTCCCTATGGCCAGCCCCTGGGGTGCTGCCTTTTTCCTGGGAACCCCCAGCTCCCTTCTCCACAGTTCCGGAAGGACTTATAATAAGGAAGGTTTCTGGCAGGAGGCACCTGCAACCTGGTTTTGGTTTTACTATTGACCAAGGATGAAGGCAATGCAAATAGCACTCCTAGTGAGACCTGAATTGGAGTTCAGGCTTCATGAGAGTAGCACATGGTGGAGACTCCTTGAGTCTCAGTTTCCTTCCCCAGCTGTAGAAATAGGGGTCCTAATACTTGACAAAATTGCTCAGACCAGTGCCTCTCATCGTTGGCTGCAATCCATGTCACCTGGGGAGCAAGAGAAACCACTGATGTCTGGTCCTATCCCCAGAGATGCTGATTTTATTGTTCTGGGGGTGCAGCCTGGGCATCAGGATTTTTTTTAAAGTTTCTCTGGAGATTCTAGTGTGAAAACGAGGTCGAGCACCCCTGATTTCGACAGTACTTAGAGCCTAGGAGCCTTTTCATGGGCCTTGGAAAATGTCTGAGACCCAAATAGAAGTTTATCGTTCCAGAAAAGCAACGAGACACAAAATGAGTGCAAGTGACGACTCCACTTGTAACAAATTCTAATACAGGCAAAACGAATCTATGGTGTTAGAAGTCAGGAAAGCAGCTGCCCTGGGTGGGGTGTGGTGAACGGAAGGGGGCCTGGGGAGACTTCTGGGTGCTCACAATCTGTCCCTCCAGCAGAGTGCTGGTTACACAGATGGGCTTGCTTTGTGAGAACTTGTGGAGCTGTACACTTAAGATTTGTGTATTTTCCTATATGTATGGTACATTTCAATAAAATTTACCAAAAAAGTTTACTGGCTCCAAAATAGGAAAAGAAAACGCAGAACTGAAATTAAGCATAATTAAGCATATCTACAAAATGTAGCACTGTCAGCCAACCATAATTCAACTCGACTCTGGGTGTGTGTGTAATTCAGGGTGAGTTGTGGAGGTCTAGGACAGTGCTTGATAGGATGAGGGGTGGGGCGCCCAAAAGAAGAAGGTCCCTGGTACCTAAGAAAATCTTAAAACAGCCCAGGTTTACCCCAGGAGCTCTGAGCCTTGACCCCACCCCCTGCACTTAGGTGCGAAACGATGCGCCTTTATGGGTGGGGGGGGGGGAAGGCTTTTGGCAGATTCGCAAAGAGGTATGTGACCACCCACTAAGAAAAGGCTGAGAACAAATGGTTTTGAGGAGTCAGTGAGAAACTGGCCGAGAATGTGCTTGGGGCAGACGGTGCCAAGCTCCCAGCTCTTCCTCTAAGGGGCCATTTAATGGGCTTGTCGGGTCAGCGTCTGCCGGCTGGCAGAACTTAGCCTGCAGCCTCCTGGAGCTGCACCGGGACTTGCGGTTTGGAACTGGGGATGGCGGAGGAGGTGGAGGAGTGGGAAGGGAGTCAGAGGGCTGCCGCAGTCTGCTGACCCCGAGTCATGCACTTAGCTACTCTGAGTCCCAACTCTGTCATCTGCAAAATGAGAGCACGCAGAGAATGCATCGTTGTAAATGCTAATCTATTTCTCCAAAGTAAAATATTATTGTTACTGCTGAAGTTACAGCAGGACCTCATTATACAGTGGCCTGTGATACAGACTTATAGCCAGGTTCCAGGTTCTTGCATAGAATAAACATATTTATCCAAGGGTTCTCTGATTCTCTAATATATGCCAGGAACATTCATGTACATTATAATTCCATTTAGTTCCCTAACACTCTGGTGGGTGGTTATATTTGAATTATTTTATAGATGAGGAAACTGATGTTCCAGGTGGTTAGGTAGCTTGACAAGCGCCCACAGCTAGTAAGTGTCAGAGTAAAGACCCAAACCTATATGTCAGAGCCCAAACCCTGCTCTCACTCTGCCAGTGTGTCACAGTCGGGTGAAAGACTCCATTCTACCTGGATTGCCTCCTAAAGGCAGATTCCAGACCCAGGGAGAAGCACGTGGCCAAATGTGGACACAGAAAAATCAGCTTTGCAGAGGCATGATGGGGCTCGATATTTTAGAGTAATTCAAGTTACTGATTTCTGTAATGGAAAAGTGATTGGGGACCAGTCACCACCTGAGAGCAGTCTGAGCAAAGCCCCGGGAAGGGGAAATGTTATACACAGCTTACTGGACCTTGTGGATGGCAAGGGCCTTCTTCCCTCTGTCCCTGTTTCCTTGGTAAACTCTCAGAGGGTGGGGATCTCGTCTTACTCATTTCCACCACCTCCCCCTCTCCCCACGTGCCTGTCAGGGGAGTGGGAAATGCAGCCCACCAAGAGGGCTGGCAGGAAGAGACAGGCAGCAAGGACAGGAATATACAGATGTGAAATCCACTGGCCCCTGGGGCAACGTGACCCGAGAAGCAGCTTAG